CAAAATTACAAAGAAGATATTTTCCAAAATTATGATCTGAAAGTTGCTTAATAATCGTAAAAGCCCCTGTTTGGGTTTCACAAGATGCCTTGCAGAGCGACAGTCAAAGGACAAAGAGTGACCAACAGCACTTTCAATATGCATATGAGCATTTGGGAATTGCATTTTTCTAACACACTACATGCCCTTAAAGTCACTAGCGTATGCATCTATTGCATCAAACAGCTCTATGGCTATGTCATTGTTCACATTCTGCTTTCAAGTGATCTGAGTGGATAATGGCAAAAAAAGAAACTTCTTCGTCTTCTTTGCTAGCAGCCTCAAGTGCATGTTCATTTGCAGAGGTGTTGTTGTCTGACTCTTCAGTGTCAAAGAAAATGCTCTTGTAAAGTAACTCAGCTGTAGTGCCATCGGTTACTCACCAAGCACACATATTTCTGTATCAATGAAAGCACTACCACCGCAGAACAACTGGAAATTACAATAGTACCATTTAAATTTTCATCCAGCATAGTGTTGTTTTTAAAAGATGTACATGACTTAGTTGCTGATGACATAATATCCTTTAAAAAAAAACAGATTTGTCATCGCTTAAGGAATACAGAGAAGCTGAGTGTTTGTTTAATTTTTTTTAAAAAATGACTCACACAGGTTGCAACATAGTCCTGTTTTGCAATTAATCATAGGTCTCCATTTGATAAGCTCAGAATTTTTCCTTTGCAAGTCTTATACTTTGCTCTTTGTATATTTTTTTTCTCTCGATACTATCTGGAGCCTTTTTTAAATTTAATTTTTTTTTTTTTTTTGCATTGAGTCTTTTATTCAATGTCAAATATCTCCCGGCAAACGCTGCTTTTCTTTGTTCCAGCACATCAAGCCAGAAGCCGCACCACCATGGCAACCATGAGAAAGGGCCACACATCGCCATTATTCAGCCGCTTTGATAGTTTGTTGTTTAGAATTCACCTTGGTGTTTTGGCAGACCGTTAACTGTTAAAGTGACCGAGTCCATCTAATTATCAGCCGAGTGTGAAAATAAACTGGGGTCTTTCTCCGACAGGACGGTCTGGTTGATCACTCTCACAGACGTGACAATCCACATCACAAGGCTGCAGGTCACATTACCCGTCACTCCCCCACCACAAGGAAGAGCCCTGATTGTCCTCACACGGGCTTTTGGTTTGTTGTTTTCTTGATGGGATTCTGGGGAGGAGCTCGCTTCAGGGCGCTTTGGAAGACCATCCACATGTTTCCCATGCTGTCACCTAAAACCAAACCTGTGGCTGAGATCCTCTAATGTGTTTGTGTGTGAACGCTTTGACGTATTCTTTGGGCTTGTGATGCATACTGACTCATTGATTTGTTTTTCCATTCACAAGTCTAACAGCACTGCATGGGCGTGTGTTGTGCTGCTGGCGGCGATCTGTGGATGAATTAAACTCGTATTGATCCGGAGGAGTTTTCCCTCGAGGTGATGAAGTCACGATGGCGTTTAATCATCTCCGCTCTGAGCTTACAGGCATTAATTGGAAACATTTTACAGTAATGATGAGCAGACAGACGACCACATGCACGCTTTTCAATTTAGTCTTGATAATTTTTAACTCCTTTTAGACACTTTGGAGCCTTTTGGATCATTTTAACCTCATTTGAGACAGGTTTTTGTCATTTTCTATCTCAAAATTGTACTAATTTTGGATTCATTTTTATCAGTTTGGACATTTTTTGAATAATTTTGGACTAATCAGAATAATTTCAGACACATTTTGGGGCAGTTTGGGACATTTTTTTGTCATGTTTGGTTAATTTTGAGCAAATTTTGTCATTTAATACTCAAAATCTGAGTCATTTTGGACAAGTGTGTGTGTCTTTTGACATTTTCTGAGTTATTTTTGGTCAAATCATGGGTCCTTCCATACGCTTTTTGTCAGTTTGGGAATAAAATTGAGATATTTTGATATTTGTCTAAATTTGAAGAAATATTTTTTGAGTGTTGTCATTTTAGAAACATTTAATCATTTTTAGGACATGTGTTTGACACTTTTGGACATTTTTTAAACTAATTTCGAACAGGTTTTTGCTATTTTGATCATTTTATGTGTATTTTAAACATGTTTTTGCCATTTTCTGACCCAAATTCAATGTGTTTATATCATTTTGATCCATTTGTTTTGGACAGATTGTTGTCATTTTGGACATTTCTGAGTCATTTTAGGCAACTATTAATAATTTAGGACACATTTTGGGTAGTTTGGGGCATTTTTTGTCAGATTTGGGCAATTTTGAACAGGTTTATGTAATTTCCTGATCAAAATCTGAGTCACTTTGGTGCCTGTTAAGTGCATGTTGAAACAAAGGTTGGTTTTCAGTCAGATTAAAGATTGAACCACAAATCCCTACATAGTTATCGATAACTTCCACATTCAGAAACAAACCAAAAGAAAAAGCCCATTTCCTTCTCGTTTGGTCTGAGTGTGATTCAGATAATGTCCTTAAAAGTGGTTCAAAGGTACAGATTAGCGAATAAGGAAACCGAGATCAAGCTGATATTGTGCTGCATCAAGAAAACACAAGAAGCACACAGACAAAAGCCCTTCAACGTGTCACATGTGGGGTCATGCTTCACAGGAAAAATGATGAGTCACGTCACGACTGCTTGTTTTGTCACTCTGGTTTTGCTGATGAACCACATGTGGAACCACATCAGGCTGACTGAGTAATTGATTTCAAATTAAAATTGCAAATTGAAGCAATGCAATTAGCAGACAAAGGTTGTTATTTAGGAAATTGAGGTGAGAGACCAATGTTGTATTTCAGCTTTATTTAGTTGGAGTAGATTGAACCTTTAAGTGGTTTATGTCTGGCAGTCATTCAGGCATGTCGTTGAACTGACAAGGCCTGATCTCATAATTTAACACCTCTCACACTGTCTGACCCAGAGTTTAAGCTGTAAAATGATCTTATAAACTCAGAATCAGCTTTATCTGACACGTTTGTGTACACACAAGGAATTTGGTTGCATCCGTTTAAACAAGGGCAGCAGGTTAAATGAAGGGAAATGAGTGCTATGCGTAGTTGTACATATGTGTAAAAGAGCATGTTTAAAGTCAACCAAAGTTTAATATAAACTGTGCAGATTGTGTTGACGGGAATAAATAGAGTTATTAACAATAAATCTGCTCCATGTGACACTTTATATACATGAGGCTGGTGGACGATGGTGCAATGGAGCAATGTTGTTGGAATGAAACAATACCAGATATGTGATAAAGTAATTCAAAGTGAGAGATTCAAAGACCTGTATGCCATTGTTGTGTAAATCGTAGTGAAAATCTGCATCTTGTATTCATTTTTAATAAGATTTTATACACTTTATAGGGTAATGCAGCTTGACTCATGTGTTATCTTTGGAAATACTGAAACTTCAAGAGGTGACAGAAACATTCACAAGTGCTGTTGAGGGTTAAGCAACAAGCTGACTGGAGAAGTTTCAATAGAGAGGCCTTTCCAGTAAGTTGTAGAGTGTGAGTCAAGCAGCAGTAAGCCAAAGGATCAGCGATGTCGAAACTAAGGTGTGGCAGCTCTGCGTGGGGACCGAGGCCAGCAAGCCGCGCTGACGGTGCGATAACAGCCGCACTGCACCTTTAACTAAACACTGGAGAGTATTTATGGAGTGACGTGGGACGCAGACTGCGTGCTGAGTGTGGGCAGGAAGCGGAGAGCTCGTGGTGTCAAGTTCACAAGAATCAGCCAGGACTGTACCGGAAGTCAGATAACTCGCCTACAAAACGATGTAACTATGATAGCAAAGAAATAATGGCTGCCCCAAGGACTAGTTTTGTATCGATTAATCTATGAACTACTGATTAATCGAAACATACAAATATTTGTTTTCTTTTAAAAAAGCAAAATAACCATTTCAGTTATTTTATTTTAATACAGTGAACCATTGTACAATGTGGCACAGTATGACATGTAAACAAATACATATTAAAGTGCAAAACTGTAGGGTTAAACTGGCAACCCAACCATAATGAAAAATTGTTTAAAAAGAGCATTTATTATCTAAATCACTGGTTCAAGTCCTAAAGAAATACAAGTTTCTAATAAACTCTTTAACTAAGTGAAAAAGACCAATTAAAGCAACAACTTCATAGTAGCTTTGAATATTATAAAACAGAAATCACTGCACAACAGTGATTTTTAACTTCTATGCTGAGTTTGTCTGATGGCATTGTGGTTATAAAATTAGGATTTTAATGATGCCGAGCAGCAGCTTGGTTTACATGTAGTCTTAATGCTGAGTTTCTGTCATTATTTCATATTGAATGGTTCTGTCGTCTCACAACGGAAACAGAAAAACGTGTAATTGAGCTTTATTGGTATAATTGGTAAATTGCAGAATATGTGAGCACAGAGAGCAGGAGAGCAGCTGTGTGTTTCTCTTCAGGTGTTTGTGTGTTGTGCTGTGCTGCTGTGGTCATAATTTCAGATATTTCTATACTTGAAATGACTTACTTACTAAGACTTATAAAACGTTTACATTCAACCTAGTTGGAGGTTGTCTCAACTTGGTTAAATATCTCAAATTATAGCACCGACTGCAGCCAACCAATGACTGAAGCCAAAACGACATAGCGCCACAGTTGTGCAGGAACGCTTAAGAGGAACATTTGTTATAATACACTGACACGTTAGGCATTGTTGATTATGCTGAGTGTGAGTTTTCACACTCAAAATATCAATAAATATTGTTCCCTGAAGGTCTGCAAATATTTCTTGCATTTGCAGAAAGAAATGTTGAAATTGAAATTGAGATGTTACATGTGATAAAGAAAATTAGCAAATGAAATTGAAATGTTACACATGATTAGGAAATATTACCCATGAAATTGTTTATAGTCAGGGTTTATGACATTTTTTTTCTTCTGTTTTTAAGGAAAATCTTTCTTTTTGTGGAGCAATCACTTTGCATTTCACTTCCCATATTTATGAGAACACAACAAATCAAAACTCTTGAATCTTGACTGACTTTGCAGGAACCGACAACAGGCCATGCCGCTTTTATTTTGAAAACCCCCACAGGAACCGGTTGAGCTCCGCTGCGGGTGACTCGACCGTGCCATAGAGAGCAACGGACGCACGGTGGCTACTTGAACGAAAACGGGGGAAGCTCGCTCAAGAACCGGCTGGGCTGTCGTCGGGAACTCAGCATGCCACAAAACAAATGCTGAGCGCGGCTCCGGAACAACCGTATTCACCTCCCGAGCGGCGATAGTTTGACGGCCACGCCCCGTTTCCACCGAGCGGAGTCCGTACAAAAACTGCCGGCGGAGGCGCAGCCGTGAGCGGTTAGAAAAAGCCAGCAGGGCGGCTAGCGGGGGCTCACAGCGGAGAGGAAGCAGGAGCTGTTTTGGGAACCATGAGAGAGTACAAAGTAGTGGTTCTCGGGTCCGGCGGGGTCGGCAAATCCGCATTAACCGTCCAATTCGTGACGGGCTCCTTCATAGAGAAATACGACCCCACGATAGAGGATTTCTACCGAAAGGAGATCGAGGTGGACTCCTCTCCGTCCGTCCTGGAGATCCTGGACACGGCGGGCACCGAGCAGTTCGCCTCCATGCGAGACCTGTACATCAAAAACGGGCAGGGCTTCATCCTGGTCTACAGCCTGGTCAACCAGCAGAGCTTCCAGGACATCAAGCCCATGAGGGATCAGATCATCCGGGTGAAGAGGTACGAGAGGGTGCCGATGATTCTGGTCGGAAACAAAGTGGACCTGGAGGGGGAGAGGGAGGTCTCGTCCGGGGAGGGGAAGGCTCTGGCGGACGAGTGGAACTGCCCGTTCATGGAAACTTCAGCCAAAAATAAAAGCTCGGTGGACGAACTGTTTGCAGAGATAGTCCGACAGATGAACTATGCCTCAACACCAAATGGCGACGACCAGTGCTGCTCGTCTTGTGTGATTCTTTAAGGAAAAATGGACAATCATCAAAAGTTTTTATCCTTTGCTCGGTTTTAAGTTTGCAATGGTGAGTTTCTGAAGTCCCACACACTTGAACTGCACATCTTTTTTGTTATGGGGATCTTTAACAAGCACATTGCACAGATGAAGTAAAATGTGTTCAAAACATGACCTTTAACCTTTTTCTTCTACACAAAAGCTCAACTTTAACTGAATGTGTTCCCCTACAGTAGGACACTTGTAGTCTATTGTTTTGCTAAGCAGATTGGGGAAGTGTCTGAGTCATTAGCAGAACTGGTGGGGCGAGCTGGGACTGACTCAATCAGGTTTACAAACTTAGCAGTTGAATCTGCACACCTACAGGCTAAAGTTGTAAAACAGCTGCTTTAAAAGTATTTTCCACAATGAAGTTAACAGGGAGATTCCAGTGGGTTTTTTTTTTTTATAGTTTGGCCTACATTCACTGGATTGTGTTTGTCTTTTTAACGTAGCCTTACAACACAGTTCTTCTTCATCTGTTGTCAGAAGTTGCCGCTAAGTTCATTCACGACTCTTTTTTTGTTTTTCTCCTTCTTGTGTCAGTGTGTTGCAGCGAGTCTGTACTGTTGAGCTCTTCTTCTTCGTGTCTCACCCCCGGCCTTGGAGGAAAATGAAGGGAGGAATGCTTGCAAGGGGGGACGATAGGAGGAGGAGGAAGAGGAGGAGGAGGAGGAGGGGAGCGACTAAGACAGAGGGAGGGGTCCACTCTTCAGGAATTCTGCCGGGTTGGAGTATCTCTGCTGCTACGATCGGTGTCCGCCGTCGATGTCAACACAGATCCAGCAGCGAGCCACACCTTCCACACCTTCTCACTGACCTGTACTCCCAACTGGAACTAAACCCCCCCAAATGGAACAAAAAATAAATAAATAAAAGATAATGGAGAGTAACACTTAGAGAAACTCATAAATGGATATTTCTGTATAAGAAGAAGACAGGGAGATAGAGTATATTTTGGTAAATAACTGCACAGTCTGAGGCAGAGTGAAGATTTTCGACTGCCTAACCCGATTCGGGGGGAAAAGGCAAATCCTCCGCAACACTCCAAAACCTACTTTTATTTTTTTGATTTTCTTTCTTCCAAAGTCAGAAGAAAAATTGTCACCACGCATCCGGTGGTGGAGCAAACGTTGACGAGTGCCACTTTTTTTTTCTTCTTCTTCTTCGTCGGTGTGCCAGAGGACCCTAACTGAAGTGACATGGGGGAACGCTGACCCGATCGCGCTTGTGTCGAGTGCCTTTCCAAAAAAAAAAAAAAAACAAATTTAGCTGTTCAGATTTAGTGCCAACCTATCACCAAATGAACCCTTCGACATGGCAATCCACAGACTAGTAAACTCTTCTTCTGGATAATCTTGTAAGGGTGGAGGCTGACAAATAAGGCTTTTTGTTAATGGAATGGCTCTTCTGTATGTTTTACATTGGCCTTTTTTTTTTTTTTGAAGTCTAAGGTGTTCATTTCCAATGTCTGCTAGGTCTGGCCGAAAACCTTATATCTTGAAATGCACAGGTACTGGAACCCTCGAGACGTGATAACGACACACATCACTTTTTTTTTTTCCAGACCGCTTAAATCAAAGGAATTCTGTTTGTTCTGTTTATTTTTTGTTGTTTTTAACAGGAAATGTGATGATGTTGACAAATCTAACCTGATTGTAAGTTTAATTTCAGACCGGCCGTTTAACAGAGGGGGCTGTCTGTTTTAAGAAAAAAAAACCAACAAAAAAAAAAAAAAGACTTTTAATACAAATTGCATTTTTTAAAAAAGAAACCAGGCTGTGTTTTTCTTTTTCGTTGATGTCTTTAATTGTTTCAGCGTTTTGCCACAGTGACCGCTCTTGTTGTCAGAAAGCAGTTTGAACCGGAGTCTTATCGTTGCTTCGTTTGTTTGAATACACACAAAAGTAATTGGGGTTAGTGCAAATACTACAAGCAAGCGTTGGCCATGCATATCTTTCACAGTAACCTGATTTGCCTCTGAAAACCCAAATTTACACGTGTTGTCTTGTAGCTGAGGATGTGTGGTAGCCCGCGTGCTAGCAGGAAACAGGACCGCAGCAAGGAAGCGCTGCAGCTTTGTTGGTGTTTGTTGCTTTTTTTTGTTGTTTGTGTGTTGACAAATTTACTGGGCACCTTTATGCAAGCTCTATTCCTTATGGTGTTTGTAGACGCATGAAAGGCATTTTTCCATTGCCTTAGAAATCTACTTTATTCTCTCTTCTGCTGCCATAGCCTCTTGCTTTCTTTCCCTTTTTTTTTTTCCCCCCTGAAACAACACGTTTACTTGTGGTTAGCATCGAGACCACTGTGGTGCAAAATCAGAAAACTGAAAAGAAGATTGACCAAGGTGTGTATGTGGTGTGAAAAAAGAGATGAGTAACCCACTTCTGCTGGTCCGTTTACAGTGTTTACATGACGCGAGTCATGTAAGCAGGGTTATTTTCAGGCTGTTGGAGTGCACGCAATGTCTCAACAGCAGGAATTTATGTAAGAATAATTGGAAAGTACCCGCTGAGACTCGGTATTCCTGCCTGTTTTAAGTACCTTTTAGTTGTTTTCAGCAGGATCAAAACACCTCTATGTACTCAGAATCTTACCGTGCATTATTAGACGGGGGCCCAGGCGATGCAGCTCCAGAGAAATGACTCTTTTTAACTGTGTGGGCGTCGTAGTGTTTCAGCCCCAGAGCTTCAGCCTGGCTGCAGCGTGTGTGGGTGCAGTGGTGTGATGTGGAGAGGCGGGTATGACTGAGCAGGCCACCGTTCTGCCTCTGTTTACCTACGGGGATTACCTAGCCCCCCGGCCGGCTGCTTGACCGCAGTATGGCTTGAGGGGAAGAGAGTAAACAAACGTAAGATAGTGCAGCCTTTCTGAGAGTCGCAGGTTCTTGGAGCTCGCACAGTATAGGCTGTTGTGGTATGTTTTGTATGTGTCTTAGGAGTCTTGAGCATATGTGTCTGCCTGTCACTGTCCTGCAGCAGCTCAGACCACTACAGTATGTGCAGGCCCGGGGGGTATCTAGCCAGTGTAAGCAGTGGTATCATATGTATTCTTTGGCTTTGCTTGTACCATGTGACTGCAGGGGGGGAGGTCGGGGTAAAAGGTTGCGTGAGGGGGGCAGTTAAGTGTGAATGTTGCATCCAACAGGTGCAATCAAACAGCGCTGGCGCATAAGAGCTGGGTAATATCACTGGGATCAAAAGTGTGATATTAAAAAGAGTAATTTTCTATTGATTTATAGCACAATGCAGCATCTGTAAGCCAAATTATGTAATCATAAAATGACTTTTGATAAATGTCCTCGTATACATTCCGTTTTCTTGAGCTACAGTTTGCTTTAACAACACTGTTTACCCTCGTGTGCACATGAAAAGCAGCTTTACATTATTTGTCGAGCATGTCGGGAGTAGAGGCAGCATGTGCGCACACGTCTCATTCCCGGAGACCGTTTCACAACTTTAATGTTTGGTTGTGTTCAGTGTTCCGCGCAGAAGACCTTTTGTTTCTGCACGGCTCTTGATAGCAGGTCTTCTTTACATCCACCGCAAGACGTGGCTGCTCCCCAGCTGCGTTATCTACGTGAAGTCAAGGCTAATAGCATGTTTCCTCTAAGGCCTCGATACAGATTGCGCGATTAGGCAAGAACAGACCTGAAATTGAACTCTGTGTTAAAATAGTAGTGGATGAGAGGGAGAAGTTTTTACAGCTATGGCCCAGTTATTGTAAATGTACACCCCTCCTCCTCCTCCTCTTCCTCCTCCTCCTTCTCCTCTTCTGCTGCTGCACAGTTTCAATCTCTTGCTGTGGTATAAACATCTGATAGCAGAAGAATTTGCCCTTTGGAGAGACAGAGGCCTGTCGAGTTCCTCTTTCTTTTTATCTGTCTCTTTCTAAGGAGCGAGAAGGTGAAAGTTTCGCTTCCTGACTGACTTCTTTTTTTTTCTTCTTCTTCTTTTTGCACAAGTCAGCAGCATCAGTGTTTTGTTTTTGTTTAATTGCTTTCAGCCTTTCTCGCCATTAGGTTTCAGCATGTTGCAGCGGCATTCTGTGTGTACTCAAATCGCTGTTATTTAGGGTGTTTTTTAAGGGCTTTCGGTTTCACTTGCAGCCGACAGGAAATCGGCGGCGTTCAGCAGGTTTTGCAGATGGCCCAGCTTGTCAGTGGTTGCCGGTCATGGGAGATGGTCATGTGATGTGGTTGCCATGGTTAAGGGGGGTTGGGATGTGGTATGGCTGCTCCGGGTGGCCTCGTGACCTATGGGGAGTTCAGTCACTGCTGGAATGGTGACTGTAGGCTGAGGAGAGGAGGGTGTCGGTGTGTTTGATCATCGCCGGTCGCCGCAGTCATATATTCATTCCTCATGAGGAGAGCGTGGTTTTACTTTTGCTGGGTAAAGAGAATTGCAGAAACAGAGCTCCGGTTACAGTAAACGCAACATCGATTTCTTCATAATTAAGATAAGGGTTAATTGTGTTTGCTTGTTGCACCGATTCTGTTTTGTTTTTTTTCTGCTGTTGGAGGCAATTGCTCTGACAGGAAGTGTTGCAACAGAGCCAGCGAGAGTGGGTGGTGTGTGTTTGCATTTTTTACATGGGACTTAATCACTATATAGGCTCCTTTCTGAATTACAGGCTTCTCTCTCTCTCCCAGCGTCATCATGCTATTTTTGAGGCTCTGTTGTGTTCAAAAGTGTGGTTTTTTTTCTTTTTTTTTTTTTTTTTTCTTGGCAGATGTTGCCTGTTATGTACTGTATCTGTCTACGGCAGCGTGCTCTCTGAAATCCATTCAACTCCATTAGCCTTTCTTTCCCTACATGTTTGTTTATTTTGACACATCATGTGACACCTAGCAAAAAAAAGAAGAAGAACATGACAGTCCCTGTATTTAGTCTGTATGCAGCGGCATTGTTAATTTTTACAGCGTGTGGCACTGCTATTTCCTTTCGTACGGGGCATTACCATAACAACGTCGCAATATCCATTTGCTTCTTGTTTGTCTTCCCCTTGAAGGCGGAATGAGCTTTGTGTTTTTTTTTCACTCACACATGAACACAAACGCACTGCAGTTACGTTGCATTTAAACACAGTGCAGCTCGGATTCCTGCAGCATTCCGACACCAGAACTTTGTCCAGACACAGGCAGAGGCATCACTCGCCTCCTCTGTTGTAGAAGTTGCTCTACAGAAAAAGTGTTACTACCCGTATTTACACAATTTTTGTCGTATCTTTTGAGCGTGATCTGTGATATCTTTCCATGCTGTTGACTGTAGATTGTGAGAGCTTCAAACAGTGGAGTTTAAAAGCGTGCTTGTTGTGCAGTAATACTGTAGCACTGTTGTGCGTTTTTCAATAAGCGTGGGCTTGAAACTCTTATTTCTCATTATGTATGTCTTCTGGATATGACAAGGGTCATGTTAGAGTGAGAGGCATCTTGACTGACACCCCGTTAGTTCCCCTCATTCAACTCTCTGTAAACCAGGGAGTGGCCTTCTCACTTAGAGCTGACTGTGCCAAGATGGGAATGCCCCAGAATTCCTCTCATTCCTGTCATTCCTCCCAGCTGTGATGTCTGGACATGTCTTTAGCCTGAACTGAAGGCGAGATGGAAGAGCAGAGAGAAAGTTGGCACACGATAAGAGGTGGTATTTACGTGTTCCGTGTGGTTAATTTCAGTGCTTCGGCCTTGCCATTGTTTTTCCTGATCACCGCTCTGATAGAAGCTAAAAGAGCCGTATCAGCAAGTAGCTACAACAAGCACAAAGATGGAGAAAGAATGAGCAGCTGTGATAAAGGATAAGTGCAGGGTTTGTCTAAACAGGCCTCCAGACACCGCCCCACTGTGTCACAAGATTGATCCCACTGGGCACACAGTCAAACTGCTCTTTATACCCATCTTTAGATAATCATAGCACAGTTGCCTCGGTTCACACCAGAGCTCGATCTGAAAAGGAAACTAGGCCAAAGGAGCCAGTTAGACAGGACTAGTTACTCGCAGCGTCCCTTGTGTGGATTAATAGCTTTTGTTCACTGGTGTCAGTGAGGACAAGTAATGCTTAAGGACCTGATTTGTAATTGAGCTCAGTTTCAATCAGTGTTTTAATTATGATGGGGAAAAAAATCAGGTCATGGAGTGTGTGGTGGCACATGGCACACTGAATCTTGATCTTTCTGTTCTAACACCTTCAATAAGATCTCAGATAACACAGCGTTACCTTCAGACACTATCAGTCACTTGTTCTGCATCAGGCTTTCAGATCTATCTCCTGAGGTCTGGGTGCGGTTTCTCGCTTGGAACGACAGGCCGGCTTCGCTGTCAGATGACTTGCATGAACCAAATTGCCTCGAATGTTTACTTGTTTGTTTGTGTCACCGTTTGATCGTAGGATTGCGTCAGATCTAGGAGGCTGAAGTTTGACCCAGTCATGCTATTTGTGTGATTCTGGAAGGTTTGGGTGAAAACCACAGAAGAGCAAAGTTAAAGGTTTCAACTACTAGTTGCGATAATGCCCAGAGAGATTTTTTTGTAATATAATAATACCCACACCCCTTAACCACTGCTGACCCGACCACAGAGATGTCTCAAGGCTCAGTCAGCAACAGAACAGCATTTCTAGATCTGGACTGGGTTAAAGTGCTTCCTCAGTTCTTCAAAAGGAACTTCCTACATTGGGTTTCACTATTAACATTCAAGAAATGTCTTAAATCTGTGTTTTCCCTCAGCTCTACGGAGCATTATGGTGTCATTTGTGTCAGGGATGTGGTTTTCAGAGC